ATACTTCAACAATCTATTTTTTTTATAAACATCTATAAAAACCATTATCACCACCACACTATTGAAAATAATTACTCTGGTATGTGAAACCCATATTAAATAAAATCGTTTCCTGTTTCAGGTATTGTAGTAGGGCTTTTACATACACAATCTCTAATCTTCAAAATGTTCCTAAAGGAAGCATCTCCCTATTCCACACACAAGAAAACCACGGCTTAAAAATAATTACAAAACTTCCACCCAGGTCCAGGTAGTTAGTAAATAGAAGATTGAAAACTTAAAACCCAGGTCTGTCTAGTTCCAAAACTATATTCTTTCTACTATAACATTTCACTGAAATTATTAAATGCATTAGTTCTCCAGTGCAATTTTCCCTTAAATTTAAACAAATAAAAATAAAATTAACAAACAAAAACAAATTGTGTTACTCATTCAGAGAAAATATACCATTACTTACTAGAAAGCCAATTATTAAATATAATTCAAATCTTATAATTCAATACAGAATGACTAATTATGTAGATATTTTCAAAATCTTGAATTTCAAGGAGGGTCTAATCATAATGTCTAGGGAATCATTTTTTTTCTACCAGATATCTTGCTGATAGAAATGGATGTCCATTCTATGCAAGTTGCCATTTCCTTTCTGTCTGCTTTAAAATAAAATAGCTTATGAAGATGATATGAGATTCCATTATTTTTGTCATAATGACCAAAGACATTTAAAAGCATCCTACTTGTTTTCCCATGCTGTTTCTATGTATGTCTACTCTTACAAAATGCTTGCAAATCATGCAATAGTTTTAGATGTAATTCAAATATAGAACAATATATGGGTAAAAAGAACACAAACTTTTTGAAAAGAGAGAAAGATAAATGAACCAATAATAAAAGGGGTTGATGGTGGCACACAGGTTCCAAATGCCAAGCAAAAATAAATAGTATTCTGACTCAAGAAGAAACTAACAAATCACTTGTAAGTTACCTTTTGCTACCTTTTAGTTCTAGTTATTTATTTTGTTTGATAGAAAAAACATAAAAATCATGGAAACAAAATCATATCATCTTTAGAAATAAAGAAGACAGTTGCTTTTTACTTAAATCAGCAAGATAAGATTTTTAAAAATATTTGCTAGCCTCCAATAAACTGCAACATGTAAGAAATCTATTGACATAAGCAGTTCTAGAAGGTTTTTCATCTCAAGTTTCAAATGAGTATGATGATTTAGAATCATGCTCACTTTTTAAGCTTAAAAGAAAATAGTTTAAAAACATGATTCATATCTAAATTGAGATAATACATAAGTGAAAATAACTACTGTGTATAAAACACATTAAATATAATTTCCTAAAATAATAAACCTAACAATAATATTAAAGAAACTCATAAAATTGAAAGGTTTTTGTCTAAAGCTTCTTCAAGCTGTATGATTCCTACCATTTCTTACCCTCAATTGGTAAGAAATATTTAAAACATAGCAAATGTTTAATTTGGGTAGGCACAGTAACCTTCTTTAACCTTTCTTAGGGAACACTGACCCCTAAAGGTTCTAGATTTAAATAAGTTTCACAATATTCTAAATTTAACTGGCATCCAGACCTCATTTTTACCTATATTATTGTAGGTATGTATACTTATGGCAGACATGTTTATTCATAAATAATACTTAAACTATTTCCAATGGACTGTTGTGTACTATAAAACAATTAAACCATGTTTCTGCTAATTTAATAAAAATCACCCAAATTTAAGAGCTATCCAGAAATTTATCATACTATTCCAAATAATTATTCATAAGAGATTTCTGACCCCCATGAGTTTTTTCTTACATAGTTAAGTAAATAAGTAAATGCTAAAAAAAGCTAAACAATCATATAATAACTGACTCTTTCTGAGGGTTAACTTTGCATATGTCCTTTGTGCCACTTCATTTTTTTTCTTAAAAAGCAGGGGAAAAAAAAGAATGCTGAAAAACAGAAAGCTTTCATCAAAGGACAAAACATCATTTACTTCTTAAGAAGCCAGAAGATGTTACCAATGCTTGCTTGACAACACATGTTCATTCACTCACCTATTGCTTCCATCAACCTAAAATTTCATTCATTCAGGATTTTTTTTAACTACCTAAAGAAACCTAGACAGTTTGTAGATGTCTTCACTCATCCTACCTACCAACCTCAGCTTTACATTTTCTAACTGAGAATAATGACAAAAACTGAGAAAAATGTAATCGTTTTACCTGTTAACATTATTTACCTCATACTCTTTGACATCAAATATTTCAGCAATGTTTCTAAAATAAAGCTAGGAAAAGAATAACCACTTCAGCACTCCTTATAATGAAACTTCTAAGATGATGCAAAGTGTAATAAAAGTTTTTAATTAGCTCCATTTCCTTAAAAAAATAAGATAACTTTAAATAAAAATAACTATTTACAAGAACAGCCTATGAATATTTGTAAGATAGAGCTTTGAAGTAATCTGTGCTTTATGAAAAATCCCATATCAAAGAAATAACCATGTGAGATTTTACTGTTTAAACGTATCAGTTATCACAAAACTAAAAGATACTACATTTACCTGTTTAACTTTATTCGTTAATAATGTTTCATTAATAGGCCCTTTATATAAAGGAATGTCTTATTCCTATTTCCAATGTTCAAAAAAATGTCTGTAAAAATGCAAATTTTCTTAATGATGTTTCAGTCACGTCTGTGCCTCCTGCAAACTATTTATGCATCTGTCTTTAGCCCTAAAACCTTCCTTTCCAAAAGTGTCCTAGAGCTTCAGCAGCTCCGTTCCTTAACATCTTTCCTGGTTATTTTACATTTATGAGAAGTATTTCCTCTATAGCCCCTATTCTTTAGATATATTAAAAATAATTCCTTTGGCTCCTTAAAGATCCTTTTGTCTATAATGTGAACGACATGGCTTTCATAGCAATGTGGCCTCTGAATAGGGAACATAAGCTACAGGGGCATCATTATTTACTTCCTCTTTTCTTATTTTGTACATATATTGAGTAAGAACCGCTCTGAGTTCTTCAAAAGAAGAGTGTTTGCTTGCTTATTTGCATAAATGAGTAAAAACAACTAAAACAAATCAGTTTTCGGCTTCACACCAATACATCCTTATCACAAACTTGAATATAAAGAGAGTAGACTAAAATTAAGTGCCACAAAATCCATTCACTAAAGCTATTAACTTTGCATTAAAAACCTTTAACTACGTTACTCAGGTATTACTTGCTATTCCTTTATACACAATGCAATCAGTTACCTGGATTCTAAACTCATAACAAGTAGCCTAGAATCACAAATAAGAGGAGAAATGCTGCTAATGGTAGGCATAAACGACAAGAAAATTTATAACAGCGTAGAAATCAAAAACAAATGCAGAAATCAAAAAAGGTATACTCAGTATAGCATCTTTCTATTCCTCAAAAGAATGTGTAGCTATTAACTGATTTAGTTTAATGATGATACAACAGTTCCCCAAAATGGCCTTTAATCTTCTGAAAAAGGTAACAGTGTGGTTGATAAATGGTAAAGAAAGAGCCCTGTTGAAGGAGGGGGAATCAAAAGAGAGAGATGTATGCAATGTTTTGGTAATAATTCTATTTTTTTTTAATTTAGAGGAAATAAAAACGATGAACATAAAGGCCAAAGTCTTCAATTATATGTAATACTATATTCAGAATGATTTGTTTTCCAACTATTTCAGATTTGCAACTGTATCCAGATTTAGTGTAAAAGACTTCAATTAAAAACCTAACATTTTTTAAACCTCTGTCTTTATGGCCCTCTCTCTACCTTGCTCTATACGTAGATAGATGTGTTCTACTTACTTACCTACCTACCCATATATCCATCCATCCCTCCTTCCACCCAACCACCATTTCTCCCTTTTTCAGGCCATCTCTCAGTCTGCCTGTCTTTCAAACTGTATTTCTGTCTGACTGTTCTCTCCCTCTGCCTGTGCATATCTGTGTGCATCCTTTTCTCTGTTTCTCTCCTTGTCTCTGACTCTGTTTTCATGTCTCTGTCTCTGTTTCGAAGTACCTTTTTCTGCCTCCCTCTGCACATCTCTGCAAGTCTCTGTGGCCCTGACTCTCCAGGGAGAGTCCCCCTCTGACTCTGTTTCTTTGTGGGTGTCTCCGGGTGTGTCTTTTGGTGTGCATGTGTCTCTACATGTGTCTCTGTGCCTGTATGTGTCTTGGTCTGTTTCTCTGTGTATGTGTCTCCCTCTCCATATATGTTTGTCTCTCTCTGTATATGTGTGTATCTTCCATGTCTCTTTAGCTTTGTGTCTCTTATCTCTGTGTGTCTCTTTCTGTGTATCTGCATGTACACCTGTGCCCCTCTCTCTCAGTGTGTCTCTTCCCCCTCTCCCTCTCCCTCTCCCTCCCTCTCTCTTTCTCTCTCTCACTCACTGTATGTCTCTGTCTCCTTCTCACCACGTTTCTCTCACTCTGGTAACTCTCCTTCTCTGTGAGTCTCAATATGTGTGTCTCCTTCTGTGTGTATCTATGCATGTGTGTCTTTCTCTGTGTGTGTGCCTCTGTATATGTGTCTGTGTCTTTCTCATTGAGTTTAGTATCTCCCTCCTATGTCTGTGTCTCCTTTCTGTGTTTCTTTCTCTGAGTATACCTCTCTGTATTCATTTCTCTACCATTCATTCTCTCAATCTCCTCTATCACTTTGTGTGTGTTTCTCTCTCCCTGTGTGTCTGCTTTCCTTTTTTCTCTCAATATCTCTTGCTCTGTGCGTGTCCCTTTCTCTGTGTGTGCATGTCTCTTTCTCCATGTGTCTTTGTGTCCCTTTTGCAGAATGTGGGTCTCTTTGTGTGTGCCTCCTTCCTTGCATGTGTGTGTGCATGCGTGTGCACTTGTGCTTGTCTGCCTCTGTCTAATATATTGGTTAGAACAAACACACTTCATTCAGTGCCTTAAACAAGCACAACACCTGGGGTTTGGTAATAATACCTTAAAAGTCCTTACCTTTTGACCAGTCGTCCATTTGTACTCCCGTTCCTGTTTGCTCTGGCAATGTCTCTGGTTTCTGCGCCAAGATTTGAAGCTAAAATAAAGCCAACTCTATATAAATAAACTTAAAACAATATATCAGAACACACCTAAACCTTACCTTTGTTTAACAGAGAATTTACAGGATAAATGGTTTTCTAAAACATTTATAATAGGACAATTAACTGTGTATTTCAACACGTGAAATTAAATCTTTTTTCTCAGAAAAAAGTTCTTTCATTCACACCTATATTTTAGTAAATACAGTTCAGGTTAAGCTTCTAGACATTCTTGCTGCTTTGGTTAGGGAACCATTTAATTTATTTAACTTAAGTCTTTCCAACTACAATTTCAACAATTAAAAAAAAATAAAAAATTTACTCTATTTGTCAAATTTCAGATTTATTGATTTGAATGCATATTTTCATATAAAACATTTCATACTTGTAAAAGTAATTTTAAATGCTATTCTAATTTTTTAAAAGATTATCATTAACTTGTGGAGTTACTGATTTTTCTCTCTTGCATTTGTTTTCATAATAAATATCATAAAAACTATGCAAGTTTTTTTTTTTGCATGCTTTTAAGGAGAATAAAATTAGATTTACCTCACAGCTAGAACTCTGTGTTCTTTAAAAAGTCCTCAAATAAAGCTGTAGTAAGCTTCTCCTTTCCAATTTTCTCTAAATATGTTGATCTGGAGTTGGCAATCTTTTTCTAAGTTCCTCATTTACTTTTGGATTAGTTGAAAATATAGGAAGTTATTAATATCAAAGAAATATGCTCCAGTCAACGAAGCCACTTCTCTCCATATTGCCCAAAAAGGTTAATAATAATTGCGGTCTTTTAATAAGAGATTCATATAGCAAGACATGTAGAAAATACAGCCTTTAATAACCTCTGGAGTATTTTAAAACATGTCTTACAGGTCTTAATGTGCTTAGTAATATACTATTTAAAACCATAATTTTATCCCTCTTCAATATACAGTCACTCTTCCTCATCATTTACCCAGCTAATGAATGCCAGCAATTAGTAAAATGTAATCCCATTGCACAATCATTTTAATGCTTTTAGCACTCAGAAAAGTAAACACCAAATTAATACTGCTCAAGCCATATCAGATCCTAGTTGGAAGCAAGCAATTATAGTTCATCTCCTCAGGTGTAATTAAATGATTGGAATGATTTAGTTCCATAAATGCAAGTTAATTCATAAGCAAGCAACAAATATACTGGGAGTAATTACAAGAAACATTGACAGTCTAAGCAGGGCTAATTCTTTTATGAAACTGATATAGTAAAATGCTGCCCTCTCCTGGGCATATAAGTGAATATTTCAGAGCCAAAAACAAAACATGTCCCCCTAACCCAAAACCTAACTTTTAAAAAGACACTAAAAAACAAACAAAAAAACCCAATAAATCAATTTATCAATTTGATTTCATTCCTTATACAAAAAATTTTAATTTATAGCTTACTATGATAATTTCTACACACCCTAGTAATTAATGCTTTTTCCATTCAAGTTCTGAATATGAGTCCCAAAACATACCTGGCAATTATTATAAATCTAATGAAACTAAATCATTCATATATAGCACTGACTGCAAGTGAAACTTCTAGTACCCTCTTATACTGCAAGACCAATACCTATATTCTTTCACTGGTAAACCCTAACTGGCATGTTAGAGATAATAACTAAGCTATGCTTTTGTAAGTACTAAAATTTGTAAGAAAAATAATCTCTGACGAATGTAAAACAAAATACTCGGTATTATTGTAATTATACAAAATGGTCTAAAACTGATTGTTTTTAAGGAACTCCAATAACAAAAATAAAAACTAGAGCACAGGTATAGTATCATTACAAGCACGTTTTAAAACATAAAGGGGAGCAGGTAGTACACAAAATAAAACACACCCCAGTTTTACTTAAGCCATTCCCCACTTTTTACTTTCTTAGGCTAACATTCAAAACAAATTTACTTGAACACTACTCGATGCTTATTAACTAAACTTATACAAACTTTCAGAAACGTATTTATTATACATTTGAGTTATGCTATAATCAGTAAGTCTGTATTAACACATATGTATTTGTAGCACTAAACCTATTCAGAATCATCCCTTTAACTTTCTGCAAAATTGAACATATTCTCAAGTATTACCAATAGCACAACAAATGTTTAATTCTCCAATAAATACAAAAGATACTTGCAGAGGATAATGTTTAACATACCAATATTTTTTAGTGGGGGAGGGAACATTATTCTAAGTCACGGCCTATGCAAGCTATAAAAATAAAATAAAACAAAATATTAAACAGTCTTGCCACTAAGTTTAAAATGTACAGCACATTTGCTTTGCCCTTGATGTCATAGTCTTATTTTTCAATTCATATCTTGTACACTGTAAGTTAATTGCTTTTGGAAAGTACTTATTATTCATGTAAAAATTAATGTGCCAATGTGTTTAAATCCTCTTAAATGACCATTCATGCATCTTTCTTCTTTAAGTACCAATGAAATCTGTCAAAAGACATCAATGCAAAATGGTCTTAAAGAGAGTTCTAATAGAGATTTTTTCTGCTAACACAAGATTTTCATATTCACCAAATTTACTTAAATTCCATTAATTTTTTAAGCTACTTTTAATAAATTCACCAAGTAAAATTTTTAGGCCCCGAAGTCTGTCATTTGTGTTCCAGCTGACATTATGAATATTAATAACAGTGTTATCCTGATTAAATAGGCTTCATATGAAATCCCTGTGAATCCTATAGCTCAGACATCTCATTTTTCCAACTCTTTATGAATTTGGATTCTGACATTAAACTGGAAAAATCTTAAAAAACAGATTTAATGGCACATTTGCATATTGTCAAGCAAAAATTAGATGTTCTAATGATTCAATTAATTACAACTTACTTATCTATATATTGTAATAGGACTAGAAGATTTCTGTAAACATCAACATATTTTACACATCTACTCATTATAGGACAAAGGATTAAGACTATTAAAATACTGATTCCTTTCTTTACACTCACCTTAAATATTTGATATCAAGAACTTTTCAATCAAAAATTATATATTCACATTAAAACCAGTGGGATGATTTTTATAGTAGACATCAGATAAACTAGGCTTCTTAAAGTGCTAAATCATTGTATCACAGACAAAATATGTTAATTGCTTTATCATTATTAATGTCACCAGGTTCAAGCAGCAAAATAAAATCTAAATAAACTTCGTTTTTGTGTTAGAAAAAATTACCCATGTTAAAAAAGAAAAATAAAATCTTTACTATAACAGACAGAACATACCATATCAGCATCTGTTAAACTAAAATCTTCTCCATCACAGATTCCTGACCTCATTCCTCCAAGTTGTTTTTAGTTCTCAGAAGAAGTGAAAAAAGGAGAAATTAATAGCCAGGGAAACCACATACCCCCTTCTCTCTGTAAATATACTGGAATCTGAATATATCTACCTAAATTTCCTACTTTCACCCTATCAAAAAACAGAGATTGAAAAAAATTAAACAAACATATCTCTATGCTCTCAAACGGGACTTGACTCTCCTTGTTTACTCAGCAGTAAAATACTTGATGAAACAAAATTTGTTCTTTGACTAGTCTAAAATTTCTAATCTGCCTAAAAATTTATAAGTAATTCTGACATTTATCCTTCAAAATTAAACAATCCTTCTTTGATAGAAAGGCACTTAAAGAAGGAATTTCATTCCCCACTGTAACAACACCCAGGATTTTTAAAAACTTATTTTAAATAGGAGATACCCTTCTACCTTACTCCACAAAAGCCACACATGGGCAAGGTGATCGGCTGACTTTGTTTAATGGTGTTTTTTTTCATAATGCCTCCTTAGTTAATCTCAAATTTGTGTAATGTGAATCCAAAGCGTCAAGCTAGGAATCATTTATAATACTGCCTCATATCCAACTACATGTAACTCCAATTATATCTAACTATAACCATGTCAAATTTTGGATTTTCTAGATTGAGAAATGTTGATAATTTCTGCAATGGAATGGTTTCATTAAATGGCCAAAGGAGAGCACTGTTTCTGAGAGCCAGATATTTTAACATATAACTCAACATATATAACATATGCATATTTTCTACTGCTGGATTTTCATCTTAGGAGACAAAAGTCTCTCAAATAGCCACAGTTCCTGGCACATTCTCTCACAAAAAGAATTCCTTTCACATCACAGCCCACTCCCTACCAAGCTCCAGACAACCCAAGTTCCCCACAGCCTGGAAAAGCAAGAAAAGGTTTAGGGAGAAAGGATAAAAGTAGCCCCATGTAATAGTTATCAAAATTTTAAATACATATACTATTTGACCCCTCCACTACTAAAAGTCTTTTTAAAATATGTAGAACATATTTGTATGTACAAAGATACACACTGAAGCAGTATTTATTTGTATGAGAAAATACTCATGCTTTAGTCATACTGAACTTCTTTCTGTTCTTGAACTCACCAAGCTTATTCTTGCCTCAGAACCCTTACACTTACTATTCCCTCTGCCTAGAATTCTTTTCTCTAGATCTCTAAACCATTTTTTCTTATCATTTAGGCCTTGCTCAAATTCACCTCTTCAAAAAGGTATTGCCTGGCCATCCTATCTAAAGTAGAAACTCCTCTCTCACTCTCATCACATTACCTGTGCTACTACCTTCATGAAACCCATTCGTTTAGGTTTTATTTCATTGTTTTTGATATGTATCAGCCAACTATGCATAAGGAAATTACATTCAGACACAGCCCTTGCTTTTCTCTTTCATCTGTGTCCTTAGAAGGGTGTTTGGCATACAGTAAGTACTCAGTATGTATTTGATGGGCATACAGGTGGATAGGTAGATGTGGAAGATTCTCTCAACAAGTATTTGTTAAGCACCTATATATTATGTGTCAGTCAACTGTTCTAGGAGTTAAAAATAAATAGGTAAGACAAATTAATTTCCTACCCAAAATAAATCTTTAGCTAAAACAATACACGTACAGAACATGGATAAATTAAAGACA